GAATCAAGCGCACTAGCAACAAATGTGGAAATCAATAATGGACCACTAGAAGAAAAGAAGTCAGAATCATCAGATTCAGAAATCAATGATGGACCACTAGCAGAAAAGAAGTCAGAATCATCAGATTCAGAAACCAATAATGAATCACTAGCAACAAACGTGGAAATCAATAATGGTGCACTAGCAGATAATAATGAATCAAGTAAGCTAGAAGTAGATAGTGAGGAATCAAGTCAGCTAGATTTAGATAGTGAGGAATCAGATCAGCTAGAAGCAGCTAATAGTGAATCAGATACTAACGTATCGGATAATTATGAATCGAATTGGCAAGTATTTGATCAAGGACTTAACTCATCTCGTACCCTGACTGAATCAAGATCACTTGAAGCACTTGACCAACTTCACGGAAACCTGACTGAAACAAGTTCACATCGAACATACCCTCTTCGAAGATCGCAATCCAATTGAATCAACTAGAACCCTACAATCAAAGCATAAACACAATGGGAAGCGGAAGAAGAGAGATAATAAATAATGGTCACCAATTCTTCTTATTTATGATATCCATTCTCATAATACTGTAATGTATCGTATAGAACAGTCAGAATGTTTCCAACTGATTTGTTAATCAGGTTCTCACAGAATAGATCTGGTTCAGTCCCGCCTGTATCCACCTTTTCCTTTATTTCGTATGGTAGAATGCTCTTATTGTGAACCAGGCATTTGAACCCCTCTTTGAAGAGAATCTTGAACTCATCCAAGTCAACCAAATCAAGATATTCGTTACTAAACTTGAATGGGGCTGTTTCTACACCGTATATTCCAGGATATTTGCCAAGAATAAATCCAAAATCAATATGGATCATATGACCATATTCATCAATGAGAATGTTGGCATTGTGTCTGTCCTTGAGACTCAGCAGGTATTGAATGAGGCTGTATCCAACCAGGGAAAATAGGAAGTTTCTTTTCGCTGATTCCATAGTGCACCTGTGTCTACTATTGAAAGTCTTCTTAAAATATTCCAGGAGACTCTCTTTCTCCTTTATCTTATGCATAGACTGTGTTTTCACGACTGTTTCAACAAGCCCAGTTTCCTCAGTAATGATCACTATCTTATAGTTCCTGAGATAGATGGGAACACCATGTGCTACAAAAATGTGTTTGATTTGTGTGATGATTCGGAATGCCAGATACTCCTCTCTCATATCAGTCCCATTTTTGACTATGAATGAAAGTGTATTCCGTGACAGAATGGGACTTGGTTCATTAGGCTGCTTTTCATAAACATCCATTCTGAAATAACCCCTGATTCTCTCTTGCAATGGCTGTTTTGATTCTTTCTCAGATTCAACAAGTGGTGGATTTGACTCTTCTTTTTGTTTCTCCTTCTTTTGCTTCTTTTTCTCCAATTCCATTTCCTCCCTCACTATTTTCTCAAGCACAACCTGCTCCATTGCTACCAGAATATTGTTTCGTATTCCATTTAGATCACTGATTTCATCCAGTTCTTTCACAGTCTGAAATTGGTACGCAAGTGTCCGTAATTTGTTCATTTTATCCGAACTCAAATCAAATTCATTTCTTTTTGATTTCAGGGTGCTTCTGTGCTCTAAAATGCAATTCACCATAAATGGCCCATTTGCCTTACTATCCAATGATAGGGCACTTGCTACATGAATCTTTCTGATTCTACCACAGTTAAATAGGGTGATGTAATTGTTACTGTGCAAATTGTTGAATAATTCCAGGTTCACTATCAGAAGGCGCTGTTTCATTGTTTTTGGCACTTCTGCGAGTAGATCACTTATTTTTACAATGTCATAGTAGTATTTTAGGTTGTTTTTGAACAATAGGCTGCTTTTGGTACTGATATTTCTCAGGTTTCGCTTTTTGCTGAAGATGTTTACAATGTTTGTGCAGTGATCAAATGCAACTTTATCGTAGAATGCAACTGATCTAAGAAAGCTTAGAACTATCCCATTGAAATTGGCGTTCTTGTTCTGTGGTGTTGTGAATGCCCTGGTTCTGAATTTGATGTGATTTGGCCTTCTTGTTTTTCCTGCTGTTTTTGGCATATTCTTCCTGTTCTGATATATTTCTAGTTCATATAAATCACAACAGAGATAGTAGCTAAGTGCTGCCTTCTCCACGTCCTCTTCTTCAGCCAAAATTGTCTTCAGGTAGAAGAATGTTGTTGTTCTAAGCTGCAATGATCTACATTTGTAAAGCAACAAGTTGTAGATTGCATCACTTTTGGTTCTTAGCATTATATTAATTAGGTGTGGTATGTAATCGGCTATTTTACACATTTTTAGGGAGTGGCAAATCAGTATTTGATCTGATGGAAACCTGAATCTATGTAGTAGTTGGATGTAGTATTCAGTGGTCTTTCGTATCGGATTCTTGCTGTAATCAACATAATCACTCTTCACTCTTTCTGGTGTTCCCTTATGTTCTGTTTTTGGTGATTTGTTCTTTAGCTGTAATTTCTTCATTGAATTTTTCAAATCCTCCTCATTTATTTCCTTCTCAAATATGTCCACTGCTTCCTCAATCTCCTGCTTTATGCTCTCTTCAATTGTATCTTCAGCCTCCTTATATTCCACCTCTGTTGAGACCTTGATGATCTCTTCTACCTCTTTCACGTTGATTTCAGCCTTTATTGGTGGAATTAGATTGTTCATTGCCTCTTTTTCTTTCTCTTTTTCGTCTTCTGGCATTTTGGGGTTTGTTTGCTGTTAAGTTTGTTTGTTGATACATAATGTAATACCGAATCAGTTGTATTTCATTATTAAGTCTGTAATCCTGCCTCAGCTTCTCACTTAGATCCTACTTTGATGTTACCTGAATTATTTATCCATTTATGCTTCTAACTCATGTTGCATATACAACATATTGTACGTTTGAAACTAATCTAAATAGAATTATAGTTAAAGAATGTTCGCTAGGTGAATTGTAGCAGCTAAGAAGAGTTCAGAGCGTAAGATAGAGATAGCTTCTAAGGATCCTCAGGAGACTCATGACAAGAACAATAATTCCTTCTTTTATATGCAAAATAAGCTTAAAACGTGTTGGAAGACAGATTTGATTGTTCGTAATTGGTCATCAGGTTAGGGGTGAAACCTTAATTGAATATAAAGAGCAGAGACGACCAAGAGAGTGTGCTACTCCCGTCGACGACTAGAATAAAATTGCCATGGTCCGCGTAGCGTGTCCCGCATTGCTAGCAGAGCCTCTGGCCCTGTTTGTATCGTTTCTCCTTCGAACACGAGGTCTCGGAGGTTTCGTCTGGGGCACTGCTCGTCTCGCGCCTCTGTTTGAGATGTGTCAGGCATGATCAGTTCCTCATATTCGCTGTCTGATTCTTTCAACTATTCTTGGCATACTTTTGGTAAGAAATCTAGTAGCATTAGATACACTCTGTTACAAAAGTATTGAGACTGTTGTTAACCCTTCACAACATCATGTTGAACCATTTCACTCACCCTACGTACGTATCCTGATGTTAAAATTCCGTTTCTGTATGCAGATTCTCTTCTCCTGTCACATATGCCATGATAGGGGTAAAACTTTACATGGTAAACAAAAAAGTGTTACAAAAGTATTGAGACAAATGTTAAAATGCCTATTATAAGTAGTTTTGAGTTGTATTATTGGTATCTTTAATGATTGTTTTACTTGAATCGTTCGGTACAAAGAGACAGAAAATCATATTACATTTGATCAAATTCAAACCAATATTGATACCAATATCAAGGCTGTGAAGGTAGAAGGATATTTAATGGTTTAAATCAATGTTTATAAGCCATATTCAAGGTCTACGAAAGGGTCCGAGTCATTCGACTAAGTTTATTAAACGATTTTTGGAAATCAGTAAATGAAAAGCAATCGATCAAGTACACATTCACACTGGAACTAGGTAGTGATGTATCGTACTTTATTGTTCATCGTGTCTTAGTCATCTATGGGTGATGTACCTGACCCAGGCGCAATTATTTGCTGTTCCTGTCTAATATCGCAAAAANATATCAAGGCTGTGAAGGTAGAAGGATATTTAATGGTTTAAATCAATGTTTATAAGCCATATTCAAGGTCTACGAAAGGGTCCGAGTCATTCGACTAAGTTTATTAAACGATTTTTGGAAATCAGTAAATGAAAAGCAATCGATCAAGTACACATTCACACTGGAACTAGGTAGTGATGTATCGTACTTTATTGTTCATCGTGTCTTAGTCATCTATGGGTGATGTACCTGACCCAGGCGCAATTATTTGCTGTTCCTGTCTAATATCGCAAAAACATATTCGTTTAACGTTTGTTCATGATCCCTGATATCATGTTTCTGAATAAAATTAGGTGTTCTAGATGAAGAAAACGCTTTAAAAACAACAAAAGCGTTGTTATTCAACATCACAATCATGTTTTTCTCAACAGAATCATATTTATTTACTAGAGAAATGTAATGTTTCGAATATTTCAATCTTTTTTGTTGGTAGCAATTCAGATGCAATATTCCTGAAGTTTATTGATATCACAATGACTTCTAATATTTATATATAACTTATATAGCATGCCATTACTTCGTTTATCATTATAAAACCTTATCAATACAAAAATCAGTATGATAACAATCTGCCCAAAATACATGAAAACATAAGAACACATGTGAAAGAATAGGTAGTATAGTGATAGATAAGTCTTTAGCATCATCTAACTAAAAATGCATACGTTTAGGTGACCACTATGATATGAAATAACAGTAAACTTTATGAATTGATCAATCAGGTAAAAGTTGTGATTAGGGAACACTTCAATGTAATCCGAGTTGCATTAAGTATAAACAGGTTGTTTTGATATAGAATACCCTCTAAGAAGCGATTAAAATCCTGAAAAAGAATATTAAATTCTGAGTCTCAATACTTTTGTAACAGAGTGTAATTAGATGCTGGGGTAAATTTCTACTGTTTTCTTCCAGTTAATGGCGTGGCTTCAGGCTACGACATAAAGCTACTCACAAGTGTTTCACGGTGTCATGTTTACTAGCTGATGTTATTTACCTTTGTTTACTTTTCTGGGTTGCCCTAATTTAGAACTCGGTCTTGTGCTGATAGATTGTCTTCTCCGGATTAGTGATGTTTAAAGATTTTCCTAGTCTTCTCCCCCACACTGCTATTTTCTTTATCTCTTCATTTCCTCTTGAGTATGAACTTGTGGATGAGGAATTACGCGTCAGGCATGATAATGTGTGTTGTTTTCTGTTCCCTCAGAGTCTTCTACCTGTTTAACAATCTTCTTCGAGGTTCCTATTTACTGATCATGGGGTTAAATCCCATCTCTATTTATACCTGTGATTGTTTATTTGTTTCTCAATAATCAATCAAACAATCACATGTCAACTTGCGGTCTTTCTAGGTTTTACCTTTAGGTGCAGCCTGAGCGGTGTTAGCCACAGAGCGATTCCCAGAATCTGCTCCTCAACAAAACGGAAAATTATGTTAATTCATACACATAATACCATTTTAACATCTTTTTCCCTTTTGACAAATTTTACTCTCATTTCATGTTACTGAAAATAGCTGAACCACTTGCCGATGAAACAACGAGCAAGAGAATTCTAAAGGAAGTAATAAAGGCAGATACCAATCTGATATCCGGTATAAAAGCATGCACTAAGCAAATCACAGCCATTGAATCCAATAAGTCCATTTTTGTCATAAATGGCACTACTCAGCCTGCTGATCTGGTAATGCACCTTCCTGCACTATGTGAAGAGCATTCTATCCCGTATATATTCGTAGAAGACAGCAAATGGATTGGAAACAAAACATGTGTCTTATTGAATGATATTGGTGATGAAAAATACACCAAAATATTCAAGCACTGTCAAACTAAGCCTGAATAAATTTCATTTAAATCACCGTATAATTTGATGCCTCAAATAAAAAGAGTAGTGGATGAAAACTACCCAAATGAAGACAACACTGTTGGAGGAGTGGCAGCCAGAATCAAGAGGTTTCTCAAGGACAAGAAGAGTGAACAACTTCTTATTGTTGGTCCTGATCCTCATGTGATAGAAGAATGCCTTAGTAAAATATTGGATAAAATATGCAGTAAATCGGCTGAATATAAGGCAATTTACGTAACACAGAAGAAGGACAGTAATCCAGAGAAGAAGTTCTTTATTCTGGATCTAAACCTGAGTACCAGCATGCAAAACCAGTCATTACTCTACTATTACTTGGAACTGTCACTTAAGCACAACTGCTTCGTCTGTCTTACGTCCACATCTGTGCAATGTCTGAATACATTTGAAAAACGAGTCAGAAGCAGATTTAAGCACAAAATATTTGTTTTAGGCTATGAAGAAAATAAGGAAGCCGATGATGAATTGGCCCATTACAAGGAACACAAGTCTCTCAAACAGGATACAGAGATATTTGAATTCCACAAGAAGTACAAATTGGAGTTCTATTCAGTTGAATTCGTCTGTGACTTGATGGAACCATTGCATTTTGTAATTCTGAATATTCTGAAGAAGAAAAAGAGACGAGTGAAGAGCAATGGCATCTACGAGGTGTTTAAGGAAGCCAATGTTATCGAATTGGGCTGTTCTGATCATATGGATGTGCTGTATGCGTACTATGATTTAATGGAATTCAGACTGATTTCTGATATGGGTGAAATATTGATTGATTTTTGTGAATATGAGGAGTATGTCAAGGCAAATTGTGCACAATTTGTACGTGATTTACTGTGATAAACCTACTATACGTCATCATCACTGCTATTCTTATCGTTAGTGCTTGTTTTACTATCCTTTTTATCATCAGATGATACGTTTTCAACTGGAGTTGCTGGTTTATTTTCAATTGTGATGTTTTGCTGGTCGTGTTGTGGGCCTGTTATCAGATTCCTTGTATCAAACACATGAATATCAATCTAAGAATGGCTGCAATGACGCCTACGAACAGCAGAATGATTAGAGACCACATTATAAAGAGTAGAACTGATCCTATTGTTGTTTCACCAGATAGATCACTCACAGATTCGCTCCACTTACTAAAAATATTAAACATTAAGGATGCATTTGTTTGTTTGATATATAAACACATCAAACACAATAAAAATAAAGGCATTTACTCAATTTCAACACATTTCGTATAGAGATGGTTCTCTATTTCAGGTTCCACTACTGTTGTTGTGTAGAAGGCATTGTTATTGTCAACAGGAGAGGAATGGTATGTTGTTACAGTTGAGACTGTTTTGAGTGTTTTGGAAGCAAGGAACTGTGCTCTGCGCTCAGCAAGTAGTCTGTTTTGGTATTCGTTATACCACTGGTAGAGACGCTCAATTAGCATCAATATCAGTAGAATGAGTATAAATACGGCAAGTTGGATCAAAACCAGCCCAATATAGAATAATAATCCCATCAATACGTCATTCATTTAGCATAAAACCAAATTATATTTTCATAATTAAGCTTAATTCACTCTCTTAAAGAATGCATCAATTTTGGTTTGTTTCATGAATGATCTGCCTGATTTCAACTTAGTGACTCCGTTGGTGATTCGCGTCTTATCAAATCCCTTTTCATCCACCAAATACGTCACTGCATCATCCAAATTGATATCATCTGCCCTGAATACAATATTGTTCAGTTTCTCTACATTTTTCTTGTTCTCCTTGTCTTCCATCACTTCTGAATTCATTTTGGTTGAACTCAATTCCATAAAGATGCTTCGTGCCATTTTGTAGGCAAAGCCCTCATTCTCCTTCTCTAATTCCGGATTTGCCTCAAATATTCCTTCTATTGATTTGTATTTCTCAATCAAATCATACGCCTTCTTCTGCCCAATCCCCTTCAACGTGCTTGAATAATCACAGCCAAGTAGAATACATAAATCTATGAACTGTTCCTGTTTGAAATCTAATTCCTTCAAAATGGCATTCAAATTGAATTCATCGATCTGCATCTTCTTGGACTTCGATGAGTTGAAGTTCCTCAACAAACAAGGTGCTCCAAAACAGAGCGTATCCATGTCTTCAGTTGCAACACCATCCACAAATCCCTCTTTACACATCCAGGCACAGAATGCCTCTGCTTCACTTGGTGCCGTGATATACGGTATCTTCAGCAAATCCAATAAGATTTGTGCATCTTCTATGTGTGTCTTATCCATTTTCATATTCATCTTTTTATATTTCAATATTTTTTCACTATCTTTTTCTTCAAGGGCTTCCTTCAACTTTTCACTGGCTTCTTCTCTTCTTTTTTCTCTTTTACTCAATTCGTGGATCTTTGCTGCTGGCGCCTCCCCGTCAAATACGAAGACAGGTGTGATACCAGACTCAATCCACCGTATAGTCCTATAGAACAGGCCATTCAAATGGCTTGTGGTAGAGTCACCCCAAGTCAAATTGGCGCCCTCAGACCTGACTGAAATCAGAAACTGGTAGATGCACATTGATGCATCTACTGCTATTCTATGGCCAGTATAATACTTGAAGTCCCTTGTTTTGATTCCATTCGGCGCATGCTTCTTGATGAGCTTCGATAAATTTTTAATTCCCATTTCAGGGCTTAAAACGTACAAAATAATTTACCACTCCAGCTCACCAGATGCGTTATTGAATGGCTGGTCTTCTTCGCCTTCGGTATTCGCGAATCCATCTTTGAAGAGACACTTCCATTTGCCCTTAGACTTTGATACTTTTACAAATAGACACACAATATAACTATTTGATTCCTCCGCCCTTCGTATGTCTATGTCTTCCTCCGTATCAGTCGCAGACACAGAGTACTCTTCCTCTATACTCTCATTTTCATCCTCCTTGATTTCTTCCCTCAGGCCCATACTCTCAAAATTGTTCATCCAGTCCTCCCTGAGTTCGTATATTATGTTGGAATCTATCAAATTCACCGAATAGTCGTCTATAATCTCCTTACACACCTCATTTATAATATCATACGCCACCTTTTTGCTGTTTAAATTCACTTGCATTGGGGTAAATTTTGCATGAAATATGATCATTAAGCTTAATTTAGCTTACCTTTCAGTTAAGGCAATTGTGTCTCTAATTCATAAAAAAATTCCTTTGTTTGTTTCTATGTTCGTTCCACCACCAATCGGTAGTAAGGAAAGGAAGGAACACGACTACGATCTGCTCAGAATGCTCTATGTGGGATGTGAAGCAAACTCGATTTCCGAGGACGAGGGGATCCAGAAGTCGTTTTTTCATCTGGTGAGCTGGGCTGGAAAGACGAATTTCCTTGAGGAATTTCAGGTCTTTGAAAAATACATCGAGAAATACAGGGAGAAGAAAAGCAGCACTAAATAGTGCTCGGAACCTGATACCAGATCAATAACAAAGAGCTGTTGGCAAACAATCATAAAACAAAACAATGCAAATAAACAAATGCTGCTGATGCATTATTCCTTTTTGATGGCCCATGAGTGCTACATAGCCTATGGAACAAGTTTGGACTCAATACCTGATAATATCAAGATTGATCGCAATTTTAATAATGGATTTAGCTTCTGTATTGACAAGAAGGAACCTGATATTTTTGAGCAACTGAAAGGGCAAATAATTGAACAAGACCAAGAAGTGAGGATTGTTCAATACAATAGTAAGGTAGACACCAAAAAATATTTGTACAAACTCAAAATAGCAGGAGACCTGATATACAACAACATTCTATTTGATAACATCATAGCACGGAGTATTTATTACTTCATACATCCATTAAGAAAGATCAAATTGGATAAAAAGATCAAAATATTGACTGTGTCCAATCAGCATAAGATTCAAGAGGGCTTCTATAACCAAATAGCAGATAATATTAAGGTAGAACGTGTTAAAACAGAAAAGAAGATGAGATTATCAGAGTTACTTACGATATTAGACGACCTGGATTACACAAACTACGATATATTTAATATTGATCTAAAAATGGAATACAATTCAACAATATTAGAGCAGAAACTGAACAAAATAGCAGATGAAACATTCGTAGTGAGCAATCTCCATAAGAATGCGAGACAACTTGAGCCATTTGGAACATTTTACATGTCGTATTCCATTGCCCTCTATTTACAGACTACACCTAAGGAAACCCTGAAGACAATTTTACCTGATTTAATCAAGGAATCCACTGCTAAGAATGGCCCATTTAAAATCCAAAGCAGCCCCTCAAGCTACTACACGAGAGCCACCAGCACATTTCTGATCTCAGGAATAGGCGGATTCGTACTGTTGAATGTGTTCATGTTGAATTCATTTCTGCGTAAAAAAGAACAGACTGAAGCGGATGAAGGGGTATTCACCAGCATATAACATCAATCAACGACCCTTATTCTACCAAATCCCTCTATTTTGAACTTCATAACCTCATTTCCTTCCAAGTCCTCTAATACTCTCATTCCACCCTGTTTCTTCAGCAAATACTTCCAATTTGCCACATACGACCATCCATATCCCAATAATGGGCTATATACGTCACCATTATTGCACCAGTGTCTATTTTCGTACAAATTATTCACCACCACAAAAACAGTATTCCACCTAAACCAGCATTTCTTCATCTGAAGCCCTAGTTGCGCAATTTCCCTTGAACTCGCCTCCTTGCATTCCGAATACATAAACCTGTCCAATCCATCTACAAATACGCTCTCCACTTCCTTAGACCTGACTATTTTCACCAAATCCATTAGAATAAATTTGCGTAATTCTAAAAACGTATCAAATTGCACTATCAAGTAGTTGTCTGATAGTCTACGTGCCACTGCTGTTGATGTAACGTAAATGGATCTTCTTCCCCTAAGAAGCCACAGCAGCAGATTCGTCTTCCCAGCCCCTGGCTCTCCCACCACTTCAATCACTCCCTGTAATTCAATCATTCAAAACACCCTAAAACAATTTGTTTTTATTTTGATCAATGGAAAATGTCGAATACCTGATCGGCCCACTTGGAATATCACTGCTTCTTGGGATGTCTGCCTATGGAAGTTGTACTGGAATGAGTCTCTGTGGCTGTTCGTCCACCCTGTACGCAGATAGACCCAGAATTGTCACATACTCATATGTTGCAATGATAATGATATCCACAGTCTTCTTCTACGCCTTCATACTCGGAATACTCGTAATGAACAAGATCACAGCAACTTACTCCCTATCAACTGCCATTTGGAACTTCAGTGCCTGTAGCCTCTTTGGCCTGGTTGGATTTGTCTCAGGAATTTCAATGGGAAGAATATCCCAACTTGGATTCAGGCGAATTGTCCAGAAAAACGACTTCTTCATGTCATTTCTGGTGGCATTGGCCACTGTTGAGGTGACACTGATTCTTGCATTTCTCTGCAGTCTCCTAATGATCTACAATCACTGATTAACAATCTGATCACTATTTATTCTACTTGACTGATTTATTCGTCATGGCTGATTCAGACGAGTTATGGTCTCTCGTCTTCTCACCCGTCTTCATCTCATTTGGTCCAATCAGGTGCACACCCGTGTTACTGCTATTCAGTGCCCTTGCAAATGCCACAATTGCAATCTTCACTGCCTCCATGTTCTTCTTCTCGTACAAATCAACTGTCATGAAGTTGTTTTCGTCCTTGACTCCTGCTTTCTTGCATTGAGCTGTGAAGAACTCGATGTTTTCCATCATGAAGAATGGGCTTTTTAATTTGTGAGGCAATTTGGTTGAAATGGACATCAGTCTCTTGGCAACATCAACCAGAATCACACCGTCCTTAAGGAGTCCATGTAGGTCAGTTGATTTGTGGCGTGAGCCAAGGACGGAGTTGATCCATTCCACAATTTCCTTATCTGAAATTTTCGCAGGCATGGGGTGAAAACCAAGGAAACAAAGAGATTGATTTATTTGATCAATTTGTAATTAATTAACTGTAGTAGAATGAGTAATCACACTCTTTGGATTGGTTGAAATGTTTTTCTGTCTCCTTGTATTTTTTAGTTTTGTTTTTGGTGAAAAATGAGAGTAGGGTCTTCTTGAGTCTGGAGAAGCAGGTGACAGTCTGGCTGGTGAATACATTGTCATCAAGATGCGCAGTCTCATCTGTACAAGGCGTGGATTCCACTTTTGTAGGGGGGATTAGATTCACTTTTCTACTCATGCGTTCAGGTTCAAATTTAGTCAATTTTACCAAAATAAGCGTAAATAAGCTTAAAAAGCATAAATAAATTCATAATAATTATTTATGCTTCTATTTCTTCAAGCACTTTGTGTTCCGGATATTGAGAACAAGATGGCACCTGACACCAACAAATGCCACAACACGAAGACAGGTGGCAGCTACCAGTCATCTGAAGTTGCATCGAATGATTCCAGTCAGCAACTCAATGAAATCAGTCAGGGAATCTCCAAATTGGTCAATCACCTGACAGTTCGGAAAAAAGAGGAGGAATCTTCTCCAATGGGCGACGTGATGTCCAAGGAGCTTCTTCAATTCATGGCAAATGCCAATGCCAAGTGCAACATGTGCCATTTGTGCAGTGAGAACTCCAACTGTTGCACTAAGACAGTTGTATCAATCATCAATGAGCTTTCTCTACCAGGAATCACAGCCCAAGGCTACTACGAGAAAATCAAGGCAAATCCACTGATTCACAACATCATCAAGGACACCGTATTAAGAGTGGTCAGAATGGATGGATGTGAATCAAAAGATGGCTGCTTGCTTTGTAACATGGTAAAGGCAGAGGGTGGAGAAATGGGGAAGAAGCTTCACGTTCTATGTGCCATGTTTTCAACTGATATGGGTTGGTTCAATTTCCTAGGGAATCAGGGCAACAAGTCACAGCAAATGGCACCAATGCCAATGTTTGGAGGCAACAGCAGTGGCAAAATGGACATGAATCAGCTGATGATGATGCAAATGATGCGGGGAAACAAGAATGTCAACCTAAATCAGGTTATGATGATGCGGATGATGCAGAATGGTGGCCTATTTGGTAGAGCCAATGACTGAATGAATCATTTGGTGCGTTTTATCACAACTTTGATCCTGCTTTTTGGCTTGGTATTTTCACCTGATTTCTTACTGGGGCTTTTGGTGGTGTTTGAGCCGTAGGTGATTCCAGACAAAATACTCACGAATGACTTACGCAGGTTCGAATCCTTGAGTTCCTTCTTTTTTATTGCTGATTCGTAAAATAGCTCTGGCTCAGCAGTGCACATTTTGGTCTTGATTCCATTGGAGTTGTTTAGCACAAACTTCCTGAAATTGATGTTTTCGTAGATGGCATTTGGGAGGATTTCAACCCCAGAAACCTCCTGAATTCGTTTCAGCAGCATTTTGCTCTCTGAAAAGTGCTCCTTGATGTTGAATTTGGATGCCACGTGTTTCATGACAACCTCATCAATTTTATTGCTCTTTTTCAGATAGTCTTTCAGGTGGATTATTTCGTAGTGGAAGTGCCTCTCGTAGTTGATGATTTGGTTGTTTTCTAGGAAGTTCTGGCAATTGGCACGGATGGTGATGTGCTTCTGTGTCTTATTATGCTTCCCGATAATCGTGCTGATTCCCTTTTTGGAATGGAGTATAGTCTGACATAGGACGCATTTAAGTGTCTTGTCGTCTATCATGTTGTATTCAACGTTTTCAAGCAGCTTAATTACCGTGTTTGGGTTTTTATTATGCTTGCTTTCTATTTTATTATGCACTTTTGGTCTAATATACTGAAATGCGTCATTTTTAAGAAGGAATCTCTGGTTCCACTCATTCTTCTTTCCCTGGGCCAAGTTGCATCCAATAGGCCTTACTTGTACCGAATTGTTCCCTCCTTTAACCCTCTTTGTTTATATTTTCTCTCTCTTATTTATTTTCCATTTATCTGGCATTTTGAATTTTTCAGGGCTTATTTTCCTCCGTGTCATTCACCTGAATATTTCACTGCCCCAATGCTACTGAAAACAAACTACCAAAAGCCAAATTTGATAATATCAGATGGTACAGATGAAATGAAGATTGAAACAGATGTAGACTACATAAGAATGAGCTGTTGCTACGGGGTATATGGCCTGATTGAGTATAAGATGTGTGAATACTTAATTATGGTAAAATATGCAGTAAAGGTGGGTACAATTGAAGGCAAGGAAGTGTATGAGATAAAAGAGGTGCTATTGGTGCCACTAAATAGCAAGGGAGCTGATAGTACATTCATCGGAGAGGTGCAGAGGTTCTTTGCTACTACACCTGGTTTCTATTTCTCAGGGTATAATTTGCATGAACAATACAAAACATTCAGGAAAACAGTAGAGGCATTGAACTCATATGAAAGCCTGTTTAAAGCAAGTTTGGCTGATACACGGGTAGTTTTGGAAGATGAGAGCAGTGCTGTAGACATGTATAAGATAAAAAAGAAAGAAGATTCCTTTTTTGGGTCACGGGAATTAATGGCAAAAGAAAGCAAGGAGAATGCACAGGATGGAAGAATACCGCCAAAAAAGAGGCCAAGAGACCAATTTGTGTTCAACTACAAAGCACGTGAAACATTCATGAAGAAGTATCAAACAGATAGGTTCTGTATTAGTGTGATTCAGGGGTATTTTGGGCAGTTTAAGAATTACATTTTGATCAGCAGAAGAAGTACAGGTCGCATGGGACCACGTCTGTTGTGTCGTGGTGCTGATGGAGAAGGAAACTGTGCTAATTTTGTGGAGACTGAGCAGATTGTGGAATATAAAAGCGCACTGGTCTTATTGAGAGGATCTGTGCCACTGGAATGGAATCAGGGGCAGGAATTAGCTTACACGCCTACAATAAAAATACGTCAACAAAAGAGAGAAGAAGTAACAAAGCATGGAGTAGTGAGCTTGTATAGTGATACGAAGGAGAGTAAAACTACCAATCCAACACAACAGCATCACAGAAAAATGGTAGAGCTCTATCAAAATCCAGTCAAAATTATTTACCTGAATTTGCTAAATAGTAAAACAGGGGAAATGATGCTAAGCAATGCATTTGAGAACGAGTTGAAGGACAGTGGCTACTCCTGCTACTCTCACAACTTCAATGGGGAACAAATTAAGAAGAAGTTTCCATTTTCAATAGAAAGCATCATTCCAAGCACAATGTACAATGATCAGTCCATAGTGGTCAGAACGAACTGTTTGGATTCATTGGACAGAACAAATGCAATGGAATATTTCATAGCAGAAGAAGTAGCAAAGAGACAGCTCAAAGAGAAATTAAGCATGTTTATACATGAAATCAAAAGGTTGTGGATTGAGAATGGAAAATACCTGTCTATTCAGTATATTGGGACACCGGCATTGCATTCTCACAATATCATGAGTGGATTCTATCTCAGATCTCGAATCAACGACCTGATATCAAGTATACAGCGATATTTTGTGAATAGGCTTGGAGATTCACAGACTGAGCAAATATACAAGGTGTTACTTACTGATTCACGGAATATTGTTATTAGAAAGAGGAGAGAATACTACAAGTTGACAAATAGGAATATTATGATATGTTTATTGATGTTATTGAGCATAATATTGGGAATGAAGATCAAGCATAAAAATACAGACAAACAAAATAGTTTCAAAAGTGAAGAAAAACGCATTCAGAGCAGAACAGAAGAGATCAAAGAACCAATTGCTTCAACTGGTAAAATAGACCGTACAATAGAGAATATTGTGAAACCTGTGACTAGTCAACCATTCAATACATTGCATTCTACGATCATAACCAAAACGGCATACAAAACTAAAACAGTCACATCCACTGAAGAAGTTATAGTCAGCAAACCACCAATTTCATCACCACTGACATTACCACTGGAAAACAACATAATTTCAACAATGATCACAAATGAAGTAGAAATCAGCAAAAATAGCACGAAAGAAAGCAGCTCCAGCACCAATGAATCAGCAGTACCCAAGAAAATCAAAATCAAGCGACGCATCTACATCTACAATTCTGATGAATATGGAATATCACTTTCAGAAGAGGAAACCAACTGCTTTATCATCTGTATAATGATGTTTGTCTTGATTGGATTGAAGTACTGGTATTATTACATCTGGACTATTGATGAATATGAACCATAAATCAAAAACAATTGTTACCACCTACAAAATACTCAAATAACCCCAGAATGACTCATTCTAATTCTATCACACTACCTGAATTATTCTGCCTAACATTTCAACCTGATACATTTGGAATAATCTACGACAAACTGCCCTGTAACAACACACTGGTTGAATTCTGCTTCACTGTGATGCCAATGTATTTTTCACTAGTTTGGTTCAACTGGATTTATTGCATTTTTGGATTCATTCTACTGATTGATTTATTGATACTGATTTGTAGTAAAAGCAGCAAGGAAGAGATCATCAACACCTCAAGTGATTTCGTCAGATTCAAAATCATCACAATTGTAACAATAGCAGTCTTCTTAGCTGATTTCAGGGTTTATGATTCAGCCAGACTTGGGAAGCAAATGGGACAGAGAGGACTGAAGTTGATGGATGTTGGTGCCGTTCTATTTGCAATCAATGCTGGATTCATTTACTCAATTTGTAGCAGAATGAGACTGCTCTACGCAATGACAATCTCAGCTGTTTTGGGCCTTGTTAGATTTGGATCCATTCATTTTGGTAGGAATGTGCGATATGACATGCGTGAATTCGGCCAATTCATGAACTTCTTCTTCATTCTGGCAATTTGTACTGGATTCTTTCTGGCTGGAATCAACTACGAATGGATTGGTGAAATATTGTTGATTATACATGAAATACTGTTAAGGTTATTTCTAGAAGAAAGAATACTAAGAACAGAACGTAATACATTTTATAGTGCCAATATAGAAGGTGTATCATACATAATACCAATATTAGGTGTAATGATGATATTCTACAACATAGGTAAAGACTATTTTGGAAAGAGAGAGAAGAAGTATTTGGTAAGGAAGTACAGTATAAAGATAGCATTCTATGTGATTGTATACTGTGGCATGAGAGAAAGAAGCATTTTTAGGAGAACACACAACATGACATTCATGTTAGCCAATGTGTTGTTGATATTGGGAAATGGAATTGTATCGGAATGTTTGTGTAGAATTGCAAGAAAGAGGTTTAGATTGGTTTATGCAACAAGTAGAAGCATGTTACAGAAGTTGCTGTTGAGTCAGGTTGGTATAATGGTGTGTAAGAGGTGGAAGTGGAACAAAAGTAGGAGTAATATCAGCATTCATGTCGTAAACCTGATGTATTTGCTGATTTTACACGTAGCAATTCCAAGATTGTTACTTCTAATACGACAAAGATGCATAAAATGAATTTAAGCTTAAAAACAAACAAAATTTTCACCCAATGGCCAAAGACCACTTTTTGCTATTTGAACACGTTGAAGGACTTGAGTTGTTCAGACTGAAGCAGATTGAAGATCTACAGGAGAAATCATTCTCCAATTACATGCAGCTGATGGAGGCAGTCGACCACGTCTCCACATTTGAAACCAGCCTACAAAGTGACTTGAATTCAGAAATAAGAAAAATGCTCATATTGAACGATGTGAAGATTCTCCACTGTGACAGATCACTCAAGACCATCTGCAAGGAGATGAATATCGAACAAAGAGACTCAATGAGTCTCACTCGTGGCATTAAGACCAACATAAATCAAATTAGAAAGAAGAATCAGAATAACCAGGTATTGCTGGCCCATGCCCACAAATTCAGTCGAAACAAGGTCGGAGAGCAACGAGACGACAGCTACGTCGTACACGTTGGCTACGAAATGGATCAGGTTGAAAAGGAACTGCTTCAGATTGAAAATATGCTTAAAAATAAGCTTAATCTCCGTAGCATAAACGAAGATGATTCAAGTGCAACCAAATTGGATTCTAAGGAGATACTGCTGCTCAAGAAGCTTCTTGATGAGAAAATGGAGCTATTCACCAAACTCAAACTCCATCTCGCCAGTAAAATGAAGGTCATTGCTCCGAATACCAGAGAAATCATTGGAGACAGAATTCTGTACAGAATGCTTCATAAAACTGGTGGCCTACACAACATGGCCATGTATCCAGCCAGTACCATTCAGTTGCTTGGAGCAGAAAAGAGCCTCTTCATCAGCCTAAAAATGAAGAAGAATACTCCAAAACATGGAATGATATTTGAGTTATTGAAAGAGAACAAACAGGTCTTTAGCAATGGTAAAATAAGCAGAGACATCGCCAACAAAGTGGCAATAGCTGCCAAAATCGACAACTACGATCCATCAACAAACAGATACGGAATAGAACTCAGGAAATCAGTTGATAAAAAGATGGTAGGAGAAAAGGAAACAGAAACCACTGAACAGATTCTTGAACGAGTTTCAAAGGAATTATCTAACTGACTACCGGTGAATATGATTCCATTAAAATTTCATGTCAAATTCAACCTGGAATCTCTCTGTTTCGAGACTCTTCGTCAATGGCCTTGCATAAGTTACTGAAATTCCATTTTTGATTCGTAGGCCAATTCCAACTGATTTCCCTACACAACTCGATTCTGAATTCTCAAGCATCTTGAAATTGTGTTGAATTCCCTTTCTGGTGTTCACAGCCACGTCGTAGAATCCAAAAATACTCAAATTCTTGTAGCAGAGACCCAAATTGCTCTGGGCACTCATGAAACTCGTTCCACCCAACTTCTTGTTCTGGTCAACTGGCCCAATCGCCTTCTTTTTAAACCCTCGCACATTTACAAAATACTTCTCTAAGACTGAACACCTTCCAAGTATCCGTCCCATTTCAAGCTGTGTCTCACCAAAGAGCCATCCAACTTGGTGTCTCATTCTTCTACTCAGCCCCAGATTCACGTAGAAGTCACCCAAATATTTCTGCTTAATTTCTGCTACAAATTCACTGTATCCCTTCTTAAGTGTCTCCTTCAGGCTACTTTTGCTTATTTCACTGCTATTTAGAGTGGACATATCGTCCTCTTTCTCCTTCTTGCCCCTACTGTGTCCTATTTTGGTGTTCAAGTTGAAGTCGCATATTTTCATGTTTATTCGTGTCAATTTGTACATGACGTCATTAACCCACTCGCATCCAACAAACCAACTTCCCATTCCTCTTTCTACTCCTCCTTCTACACTTCTCACTCGTATTCTACTTTCTCCTAATTCGACACTTTTACTACTCAAATTCCCCCTAATGAATCCAAGACTTCCTCCAACTGTAAAGGGCCTTGATACTTCAGCAGTCAAACTACTCAAATCAACCTTTGATTGAATACATTCTACCAGATACTTCATCTTTTCAAGCAGACACAAACTCGATACGTCTCTACTCTCATGTTTTGACTCCTTCTGTCTTATTTCAGCCTGAATAAATACTCTTTCTCCGCACCTAAACAAGTTTGGTCCATTAAGAAGAACTCTCCTCTTTCCTGAAGAGGAATAGGACAATTTGAACTCATTTGGCTTCTCATCAAGGTGAATTCTGTTTCCACTCATCGATACACTGTTAAATAGACCAACTCGTCTCAAATTGGATAGTAGTTCATCCTTGCTCCCGGATATGCTTCTGATATCCTCAAGGAAGCTTGTATCAGTCTTCTTATGACCCGTAAATGGAGAAAACCTACCAAACATTGGGGCTCTTTTCTTCTAAAAATGTCGACTGAAATTCTAAAAATTTGAATTTTGACCAGAATAAAATGGTATCAGAAAATTTCTACAACAAAAATAAAATCAAGTATCTGAAGATGATTGCAGGAGGAAAAGCGAAGAAGAACAGCCGTGGAAAGGTGGTCTGGGAGGCCGAGTTCCAGTCCAGCAGGAAGGACGTAGGCAGAATAGAGCCATCCAGAAACTGGTTTACAAACACGAAGACCGTCACCCAGGATGAGTTGGAGGAGTACAGAAACAGTATCAGGGTCAAGACACCCTATGAAGTCCTAGTTAGTACTGGAAATGTCCCATATTCCCTAATTAACAACGACGTGAAATTCAAAAGGAAGCACGACTATACCGATGCATTTGGAACAAAGCAAGCGAGAAATAGGGGAATTAAGAGAGAGTATAGGACACTTGAAGAGCTATCACAGCTTGCCAAGGAGAAAGAAGCAGCAAGAATGAAGGAAGAAGAAAACAAGAATCCAGTAAACAAAACAAGCAAGTACAACAGCAAGAAGACCTGGAATGAGATGTATAAGGTATTGGATGCGTCTGACGTCGTGATCCACCTCCTGGATGCCCGAGATCCAGATGGAACCAAGTGCAAATTGGTTGAGAAGTACCTGGAAACCAAGAGGCATAAACACCTCATTTATGTGCTGAATAAGGTTGATTTGGTGCCTACTTCTGTGACTGCTGCGTGGCTCCGAGTCCTCTCCAAGTCCCACACTGCCATTGCCTATCACTCCAACTCCCTCGACAACTTCTACGGCAAAGAGAACCTCCTTGGTGTCATCAGACAGCTGAAGACCCTCTACAAGAAGAAGTCGATCTCAATTGGATTCGTTGGGTACCCGAATACTGGTAAATCAAGCGTAATAAACACGTTAGTGAAGAAGGATGCCTGTAGGGTGGCACCAGTTCCAGGGCAAACAAGGGTGTGGCAGTATATTGCACTCATGAAGGAAGTCTATCTTATTGACTCACCAGGGGTAATTCCAATTATGACTGAAAGGGAATCAATTCTGTTTGGGGCAGTCAGGGTTGAGAACATCCTTGAGCCAGACCTCTACGTTGGTGACGTCATAGCCAAGGTCGGGGCAGATGCGATAAGAAAGAGGTACCAAATTGAGTTTGAGACTGAGGATGAGTTCTACGAGGCGTATGGGAGGAAGTACAAGAAGATTCAGGCTGGAAACAAGGTGAATGTCGACCTAATAAGCCGAAGCATCCTCCACGACTTCATTCGTGGTCGCCTACGATACTACACGAGTGCTACTGAATAAAATGTAGAACACAAAAATGCTCCCGGCGAGGATTGAACTCGCGACCTCAGCATTACTCTGCTGTTACCATAATTTTACAACTTATAAGTACCGCGCTCTAACCACTGAGCCACGGGAGCAATAAAACACAAAATGGGAGTAATAAATTAGTGAGTGAAATAATTTGTTAAACAACTTGTTTGCTGAATAATTTCTACTACAGTAACTAGTTCAACTCCTGAATGAATGATACTTCGTAGCTGTTTCCCACTGGTTGCTTCTCAATCGACAAATACGTCCTCTTGATCCATATCTTTGATATAAAGAGTAGCACACATAGTAACAGTGACACTATCATTATTCCAGTATACAATCGTGCTAGTTGAATCTGTTTATTCATTTATGCAATATATGGGTTAAATAAATAGTGAAAACACTATTCCACCTATAAATAAGTTAAACCAATCATCCTTTCCATTTATTCCTTCCCATTTATTCGTAACTTGTTGTTGCCTCCTGATACTGCTGATACTCATTCAACAAATCCTGTAAATTTGCTTCTGCCTCTGTGAACTCTGCCTCATCCATTCCCTCACCCGTGTACCAGTGCAAGAACGCCTTTCTCTTGAACATCGACGAGAACTGCTCTCCCACCCTCTTAAACAGCTCCTGAATCGAGGTGGTGTTTCCGATGAAGGTGGCAGCCATCTCTGCGTCAACTGGTGCCACGTTGCATACGGCAGTCTGAACGTTGTTTGGAATCCACTCCACAAACTGCTCACTCGTCCTGGTCTGAATCAGATTCATCTGCTCATCAACCTCCTTCATGGACATGTTCCCCCTGAAGTAGACGGCAGCAGTGAGGTATCGACCACTCCTTGGGTCGCATGCAGTCATCATGTTCTTGGTGTCGAATAGCTGACTAGTCAGGTCACTCACAGTCAGATTCCTGTACGACTGACTTGCTTCTGATGAAAGTGGGGCGTATCCAACACAGAAGAAGTGTAGGCGTGGAAATGGAATCATGTTCACGGCCAGCTTCCTCAGGTCGGAATTCAGCTGCCCTGGAAAGCGGAATCCGGTGGTGATGCCACTCATCACGCGACTCACCAGCAGATTCAGGTGGTCGTACGACGGATTCCTCAGTTTCAGCGTCTTCGTGCAAATCGAGTAGAGCGCCTCGTTGTCGATGCAGAATGTCTGGTTTGCGTTCTCAACCAGCTGGTGGAACGAGAGTGTCGCATTGTACGGCTCCACCACCGTGTCAGACACCTTCGGAGACGGCACCACTGAGAAGGTCGCAAGCATTCGGTCTGGAAACTCCTCCTTGATTTTGCTCACCAGAAGTGTCCCCATTCCTGATCCGGTTCCACCGCCCAGCGAGTGCGTGAGCTGGAACCCCTGCAGGCAGTCGGTCTTCTCCACCTCCTTCTTCAGGCACTCGAGCACCTGTTCGTGCAGCTCAGCCCCCTCAGTGTAGTACCCCTTGGCCCAGTTGTTTCCTGCCCCACTTTGACCAACTACGAAGTTGTCTGGTCTGAATAGCTCAGAATGGGGGCCATTTCGGATTGCATCCATCGTACCAGGCTCAAGGTCGACCAGGACGGCCCTAGGGACGTATTTCCCGCCTGATCCCTGGTTGTAGTAGACACCGAGGGAGTCTGGGTCAGACTGTTCGGCATTCTTCCCAGTGAGAAGGCCAGTGGCATCAATTCCATGTTCAGTGCTGATTGTCTCCCAGAACTTGTTTCCGACTTGGTTTCCGCATTGGCCAACTTGAATGTGGATGATTTCTCTCATTGGGGTAAAAAATAGATGAAAGAGAGAAATATAGGGTAGTGACAGTAGTAGTAACAGTAGTAGTAACAGTAACAGTAAATATAATAGCAACAATAAGTGTAGTAGTAGTAGTAGTAGTAGTAGTAGTAGTAGTAGTAGTAGTAGTAGTAGTAGTAGTAGTAGTAGTAGTAGTAGTAGTAGTAGTAGTAGTAGTAGTAGTAGTAGTAGTAGTAGTAGTAGTAGTAGTAGTAGTAGTAGTAGTAGTAGTAGTAGTAGTAGTAGTAGTAGTAGTAGTAGTAGTAGTAGTAGTAGTAGTAGTAGTAGGGTAGTTAGTGATATAAGAAGTAACAGTAAATATAGTATAGTTGTTAGTTTACTATTTACTACTACTAATATATTTACTACTAATATATTTACTACTACTCTATATTTACTACCCCACAAATGACTCAACGTATATCTCCCTTAATTTTGTCTCAAATTCACTCTCATCAATCCAGTCATCAGCAAGTACTTCTGGTCGTAGTAGAATCCTATTCAACAACTTCTCAGTAGCAATGAGCATCCCACCTACATCAGGTCTACTCGTAACAAGCACTATCTTACACCCCTGGGCACAGACGTGTCTATGGGCAACGAGACTGTCGTAGCATTCACCCTTGTTCTCTATTCCTGAATAGGCTACCAGCATTGCCAGTGGTGACAGTGACTCACAGTTGAGTTCACACTCAAAAATCAGAGAGTCCCTTTCATTCGTAACCAGAATGAAGTCAACTGGCATAGGTGGGCTACCAACTACCCTGAAAAACAGTCACCTTTTTCTACTCATTTTCCTACTGATTCTCTCCCTGTATTCTGCACACTTCGTGCACTCCTTGCTGTGATCCATCACCCAACTTGCCAGTGAATCGCATTCTGCCACTTTGGTAGCATGGACTTCCTCCTCCTTGATTCTGTTTGCAAACCACGTTCGTACCTTTCTGACTGGCATCCCTGTTTCAGCCCCTATTCGCATGTACTGGATGCTGGTTGGATACTTCTGTCTCCTGTAGTGGCTCCAGAGTGTCTGAGTCCGAGTAGTCGTCTTCTTTATTCTCCTGTAGTCCAGGTCACTTGTACTGGAATCATGGACTACCTCAATCAGTCGACTGAGATCCTGGTACGGTCTACTTGGGTCATTCTGGTTGGACATATTGTTTACTAAGATCATAATAATAATATTAAGATCATAATAATAAATAGTTGTTTACTGGTATCAGTCTCTTTCTCTAAACATCTTCATCGGATGAGAACTCTGGCAGTGGTCTTTCTCTAAGTGGTCTACGTGCTAAACCAGCCACAAATTCCTGGTTCAGCCACCAGTTTCCTGCTCCTGTTTCTGATCCTGCTTCTGATTTTGGTAGATCAGTGATAGTTCGATGGAGTGGTGTTCTCGATTGGACATTCTGATACGTTGGTGATCGTGGATCACGTAGGGGAGTTCTAGTTAACTGGGACACAGATGGTCGATGTGGATCATTTTGGTGCTCAACAGGTGGATTCACTGATTGTGGGTTGTGATGCGATGGTCTACGTATTGGTGGTCTCGTTAATGGGTCTTCTCTTGGGATGGAATATCGTGGTTGATGCGATTGATGTGATTGATGTGGTTGATGCGATTGATGCGATTGATGCGATTGATGCGATTGATGCGATTGATGCGATTGATGCGATTGATGCGATTGATGCGATTGATGCGATTGATGTTCAATATGTTGAGGCTGAATTGGTTGAGATGGGATATGTTGATGTGATGGGATATGCGGTTGAGGCCGAATTGGTTGAGATGGAATATGATGATGTGATGGTTGAATACGTGACTGAATTGGTTGTGACTGAATATGAGGCTGAATACGTGATTGTGACTGTGATGGAATATGATGCTGTGACTGTGGAATATATGGTTGCTGTGGTTGCTGTGATGGCTGACTATGTGATGGCTGTCTGTGTGATGGCTGCTGAATTGGTTCTGCTAAATTACGCATTCTCAATTTCCCTCTTTCTAACATCATCCTGTCTTCATTTGTTAACTGTCCTGGATTTGATTGGAATCCAGGTCGACGTGGAACACTATGATGAGTTAGAACACTGTGATGGATTGGATTGTAAGGTGGCTCTGGTTGCAATTCACCCCCTTCTTCAAATTCCATGCTTTCTACTGGTGTAAATTGTGGTGGATCTATTTCTGGTTCAGAAGGAGCATTTTGTGGTTTGGGCTTTTTTGGTTTTGGTTTTGGTTTTGGAGAGCCCTCCTCTGGCTTTGGCTTCTTTGGTTTTGGTTTTGGTTTTGACCCAGAATTACTTGTATCATCCCTCTTGAATTTTGGTGTCTTTCTATTCTGTGTCTCATTCTTGTTATCTTCTACTGAGTTGGATCCAACGTGCTTACTATCACCCTTCAAAATGTATACTGTTGCTCCAATTCCACTTCCTACTATGATCAGAATTATTATCATAAATATGTATTTTAATCTACTGTTCTTCATATAGGGGTTGATTGATCTACCATCAATACCAGTAAATGACGTAATACACCCTGATAACTGGAAGAAGTATGTATTACGTCATTTACTGAAATTGAAGTAGGTGATACTCTACCAGAGTATTTTGTAGCCCATTTATGAAAACAAAGAATCAATTTTGTACATTTCCAGATTGCACCAAATCGTACACTTGTGCATCAAAGTTGAGGGACCACATGAACGTCCACAGCTGCATCAAGCCATACGGGTGTAACATGTGTCACAAGACGTATTGCAGCAAGAAAGCACTCGATGTCCACATCAAGACACACGATGGATACCAGTACAGCTGTAAAGAGTGTTCTACGACATTCTTACACAAACACACGTACAAGAAACACAGGTGTAGTAAGCAGTACACCTGTATAAAGTGTAATAAGAAGTATGAGAGAGAAAAGATGCTAAGGAAGCATGAGAGTGTTTGTGGCACGAATTTAAGTTGGAATAGCAGTGAAAGTGAAGAGGAGTCATCAGTAGCAGTTGTGACTACAAAAATACCCTGTGAAATTTGTGAGTGTCTCTTTAAAACGGCCAAAACACTCAAAGAGCACCAGAAGGCAATTCATGAGGGAGTTACTCAGAAGTGCCAATACTGCGGCAAGGAGTACAGGCACAGCAGTGGCCTAAGCAAGCACCTTGGTTCCTGTAGGGACAAACACGTCGTGAACGAGTGATTTATTTCAATACCTTTTTCTCACATATAAATTGCATGATTTTGTAGAAGAATAGCATGAAACTCCTCTTTTCGAATTCTATTCCACCGTACATGTATTCCGGAATACTGCAGTTTGTGGAGTCAACAAGCTGGACCGAGTACGTCTCTGAATCGGCGTCCTTTAGCTCGAATACCAGTCTAATGACTCCACTAGTCCCGTTTCGTTGGACTGTCCACAGGTTGCGACCATTCTCCTGCTTTATGTCTATTCCAAGCATCTTTTTGTACAAGTTGTCGTCACTGCCTCTACCAGCCTGAATCTGCCTAAGTTGCTCATTCTCAGCTTGGAGTGCCTCAACCAGTCCACTCTGCACCACCTCCAACTTCTTGCAATTTGCACACAATTCGTACGAGTTATCTGCCACTATTTCCACCCCAGTCTTCTTCCTATTTTTCCTCTTTTTTGACTCACCTTCTTCCTCCTTCTCTACCTTCTTTGGTCTCCCCCTCTTCTTTTTCCCAACACTTTCCCATTGATTCCTGTCACTTTTTTCACCCAAATTCCCTTCTTCTACTTCCTCTCCTAGGCCCAACTCTATCACTGACTCCTCCTCTTTCACCCTCTTTCCTCTACTCTTCCTCACACTCCTAATATACTCATCCGCATTCTTGAATTCAACCTGTGCCCTGCTATCGTCCCTGTATTCAACCTGTGTCCTATTCTCCTTACCGTCGTACTCCTCAATCTCCCTCACTTTCGTCACTTTCTTTGGTGTCCTGAAGTTCAACTTTTTCCTTCCCATTTCTGGGCTAAAAACAATTGAATTGTTTCTACAATTCATGGAATAAATAGTAAACAACCTCCCAATCCATTTATCTCATCCTCTTCTCATGTAATTCCTTAATCTGCCTCTGTAACTCCTTGATTGTCGCATACCAGTAGTCTCTCTCCAGCTTATCATCAAAGCCAAAGTACTCCTCAGTACTCAATACGAGTCTATGCTCGTGCTTCTCTCCCACTGCCATCTGCCTCCTTACGTCAATCTGGGCCATGTTCCAGTTTCCCATACTGAACTTGCTTCCATCCATCTTGTGGTAGACCAAAAATCCATTCTTGAGCAAACAGAAATACTGCTGGTGCCACATGCAGCTGCATAGCTCCCTTCTCTTCCACATTGGCCCCTCTGTGAAGACTATTCCGTTGTTACGGTATTCCATCACCTTCGTGTCAACTCGTGGGCTTCTCAGTTTCACAGGAGTGAAGTTTCCAATGGCCATCACCTCGGCCTCAGTGGGCCTTCTTTCAGCCTTCTCCTTTGGCTTCTGACTCATTGCTTCCTTGTTCTTCTTGTACTCTGAGTCCGTGTACCTGTGCTCATTCTTCCCAGAATAAACATTGCCCTTGTTCTTCGCATTCTTGTGCTCATCCAGGCACTCCTTGC